TTGTCGAAGCTTTGACATTCGTTTTCATGCCCACACCTGTCAAGCAGAAATGATGAAACTTACTTCGCCAAGTTGTCTGCACCAGTGGGGGGGCCAAGGGATCACAGTGACCCATAGAACATCATAGAACCAGATAGAACCATAGAAGTTGTTGGACTCAACAAAAGAGACTTGTGCGATCTTGTCCATGGTGGATCGAGTTGTGAGAACTGTGAGTTCGACAGGTGCACGTTCGAGGGGAACCAAAGCCTCCAGCTCAGTCGACGTGTCAAGCTCAGCTCTCAGTCTGACAGAGACCACTGAATGTCTGGCTTCCACTTCTTTTGTACATTCACAGAACAACAATTTATACAATCACCCTGTCTGGAAAAACACCAGTTGCACATGGGAACAGCGATTCAGTTAGGTTCTTGCTTTCAGGAAGTATGAAACTCAAAAGTCCGCAAGAATAAGTTCGTTTGTGCTGGGGCCAGCACCAGATATACAGAATATACTGTAACTAAAATACAGTCGAAATGTAGAGCCCATACATAGCTCCGTTTTCTGACGACTGACGATGTTTGTTTTGGCTCAAGGAGAAGCAGAAGCCAGCAGGAGAAGCAGAAGCAGAAGCAGAAGCCAGCAGAAGAAGAAGAAAAAGAAGAAGAAGAAGACGCATAATAAGATGAAGATGAAGATGAAGATGAAGAAGAAGATGAAGGTGAAGATGAAGATGAAGATGAAGACAAGAAAGAAGACAAGAAAGAAGATGAAGAACCGCCTTTGCCCGAGGAACCTCTGCCAGAACAGAGAACAAAGAAGAAGAGGACTTGCCTGAAGAGGAACCAGGAAGAGTGGCCTGAAGAAAAGCAGTGGGCCAAAGAAGTAGAAAAGGAGGAGCCTGATCAAGAAGCGGCCGAAAGCGCGGCTGCAGGTGCCGAGCCCTATCAACGAGCTCCCGTCGGTCCTTGGCGACTTCTGCGTTGCAGCAGACGGCTTGCAGCACAGTTCGGAGTTGAGGTCTCCTAGATTGCACGGGACCGCGAAGCGTGGGATTACCGTGGGCCCCGCAAAAGATCCCAACCACTTGGGTCGCACCGGTCGGCTGAAGTCAGTCATCTGATGCTGGCACCTCTCTTCACTCCGTTCGCTGCATCACCAGGATGGATCTGTGCACCCTCCGCGTTTCAGGAATCTCACGCCTCACGTCTTCTCCAATCTTTTCTGGGAACCAGGGAAAGAAGCAGGAGCGAAGAGCTCGGGATCAGGAGGTGCGCGCCACAGCGGCTGAGAGTGAGACCACTCTTGAAGGCCCAAAAGCGAGTCGAGCTGAAGAGAAGCAGCGGAGGTGAAGGAAAGACCAGTGGCAAAAGCCAAAGTAGCAGCAACAGAGCCCAAGAAGAGAACAGGAGAACTTAGGAAAGATCCACCTGTTGCATCCTGTTGCAAGGGTAGAACCAAATCCAATCCAAAGGAGAAAGAGAGCACGGCAGTGGAGCAATTGGATCCGAGATTCGAAGGAGGTCTACGTAGAGCAGCACCATTCGCACATTTTGCAGGAACACCGCAAGTTGGCCAGCTGATTCAGCAAGCTTTTCGAAGGTGAAAGAGATTGCAAAGCAGCTTGAAGCAGATCATCAAGAGATGAAGCACATGGTTTGGACATTGCAGAACAGGAGATTGTGGACATTGCTCACCCGTTCAGCCACATATAGATGTGATGGAGATCAATGGCTCACCGTGTTAGCAAAAGGCATAAATCGAAGCCAAGAGCAGAAGGGAGACGGCTCGTTTTTAGGATGTGAAGAACAGGAAGTGCATGACATTGTGGATAGAGATGAGCCAACTCCTCTTGACCGGTTCACCGTCTTGTCATATGTTGTGTCAACTCCAGAACGCGCGCCAGGGCCGAGTTGTATACCAAGCAAAAGCGAGCTGGGGGCTTTTTGGGGAGCAACAAGCTGGGAGGGCGAGGAGGTTGAGGCACTAGCCAAAGAAGATGCAACTTGAAGGCTGTGGCGAGGAGCCTGCGCAACGCCCCGCCAGAGCGTGGCTGCAGCAGGTGCAGAGCGTGAGACCAAAGACACAGTGCTATGAGGAAACTGTGAAACCTAAAAGCCAACAAACCCCAATTACTGCAGCAAACTGGTGGTCTGTAACATCAAGGCCAGGAAACATAAGAGGAACAGTTGCCAGCAAACTTTCTTGTCAGCAGTTCGCCGCCTTTAGAGCCGATGAGGGGAGGAAACTGCCGGCGACCAGAAGTTGAGGCCGGCGTGCGGGTTCCATGACGTCCGGGTTACAGCTCATGGCGATGGAGACGAGGAAGGCGACCAAAATCATTCAATCCGAAGTTCAGGGGTGAGTGAAGTTGAGAGAAGACACTTGGAGAAGGCAAACGGCATAGAATCGAGCTTACTTACAGGAAGGCCGGCGCGACGTCAGTCACGTGGTCAAGTGGTTAGCCCGACAGAAGCCTGGCGCCTTGAAGCATTTCACCAGGTACTTGCACCTCAAGAGAAACCATGGTATCGCTCACGTGTTTGCAGGCCAAGCGATGCCAGCAAATTTGCGCATACAGGTGGACGCGGATGACGGTGGAGATGCCATGGCCCGGAAAAAAAAGCGACCGGGATGGTAGCCCTATATGGAACACACGTCTTGAACAAAGCAGTAATGTGCAACCCACCAATTGCTGCGAGCGCAGGCGATTCAGAGTCTTGCGCCTTAGTCAAGGGTGGTTTGGTTGGACTAGACCAGGCCTGTAATCACTTTGCAGTGGCCGGAGCTGAAACGCAGTTCAACGTGTTGGCTTGGGTAAAGCCCGCCGCGTGCAGACTCGGTACCTATGGTTGCAGGAGCGTGCGGCAGAGCGACGCTGGAAAGTGCAGTATGTACCCGGAAAGAAGAACAAAACAGGTTTCTTGACAAAGTCTGTACGTGTACAGCTGCCAAGACAACGGAAGACTTGCAGTATGTCTTCCTGAGTGGTCGGAGCAGAGGACAGTCGGACATTCATAAGTGAGATCCGTAGCCAGACTCCGCTACCAGCGTTGAGTGCAACATCGCATGTTTCACATATTTTTGTGTACAGGTTTCTCACTTCACAAAAGGATGAGTGTTACACAGCCCTGTTTCTACAGCGCTTATTACTGATGATGTTGTGGTTCAAGGTGAGAGCAGCTGCGTAGTGTCGATGCCGTGTTTCTATATTCACAAGTTGGCACTTGGATAGATACGAGTTGGGTCCATGTTGTTCTAGTTTGCGTTCCCTGGCAGAATCCTGAGGACATGGAGCTCTGGGGCTCGGACGGTGCGCCCGCACCAGTGTCCGGTGTCATGCAGGTTGGGAATCATGAAAGAGCTGAAGACCGATCAGTAGGACCACCTTGTCGTTTTGTTGCAGCATGTGTGGTTGGAAGCGCGCGAAGCACATAAGCCTCAATGATCCTTGGCTTGAAAGTCATTCTATTTAGCTTGGATGGAAGGTATTGGTTGGCATTGTGCCTGTATGGAACGTATTGATTGGCATTGTGCCCGTGCCTTTTGGCTCTAGTATTATTGTGTAGTGGGGTTGTAGTTGCATGTATCTGGAACCGAGCATGGTACTGAGCATTTTTGGAGATCAAACGGGTGATGATCACTGGATGTATGTTTTGCCAGCGGTGCAAGATTGTCATTGACTAGTTTAATGGCTGTGGTCAGGATAATATGTATTTTCTTCTTCGCTTGAGCCAAGGCGGAGCCTATTTTGCTTGAGGGCCCTTGCCTCGTGCTTTGCTTCCCACTGCAGTGCCGGTCATTGTCAATGAGGGAATGGGAAGAGGTGCGTAGAGCCAAGGTATGGCAGATTGGGGTAAAACAATAAATCTTGGCACAGTATTCTCATACACTAGACACCACATTTTCGATTCATAGACGATGCAAGTTGCCGAGGCTTCAAGAGCCATGGCATGGAGACAGTGCGCACCTTATGATGGATTCCTCAAGAGCAAGAGAAAGGTCACTTTCAACCTTCATTTTTAATAGACATTCTCTAGAAACAAGTATCTTCATTGATTGCTTCACCAGGCAGCAAAACTGGCAAGCTAGGCCAGCTGGCGCGTCATGGCAGCTCCTTGCTTGCATTCCTTTGGTGACCCTGGTGTAGTGCAATTCTCCACCATCTAGAACAAGGGGAGCTCTCTGTTCTATCTCATTGTGAGACTCTTTGTCGCACATAGAGTACTTCTAAGCTGAAACATGTAGATAACAAGCCCACTCTTGCAGAGTTCACTTCTTGTCCTGTTTCTCCTGGAATGGATTTCAGGCAAAAGGCAGCATGGCAGGCTCCAGCTTTCTTCTCAAAAGCGTTGCTTCATGTTCTTTGGAAGTGCAGTCTTTGCCTCGGCACGAGCCGCCTCGGCACGTTGCGCCTGTGCGACAGACCAACGTTGCGCCTGCCAACATGACTCCGGCTTCACCAGCCACAGCCCCTGTTGTGACGGGAAAGGAGACCTTCGCCTGGCTCTCAGCACTGAGAGCTTCCCCCTTCCTCCAGATTTGCCTTGGCTTTGCCTTGGCTTTGCCTTGGCTTAGGTTGTTTCCACAAGTGGAAAGGACAGCGAAGAAGTCGTGGACGGGTCCTCGGGACCACGACACCGTGCCGCTCGCGCCGCTCGCCCGGTGCCGACGTGTGCGACGGGCGACTGAGGTTAGAACTCTCGTGGGAGAGTACACAGAAAGTGGCACCAATCACGGGCGAAAGGTCTTCAAGAAGGTTGCTTGCTCCATTTGTCTTGTGAACAAATTTGTGCTGTCTACCAATGCTTGCATTTTGCTTTTCTACCACTGTGTGCTCTGTGCTTTGTCAAGCTCAGGAATTGGTCTGGGTATGAGAAAAGAGTTTTCGACTTGACAAAATTCCAACAGTTATTCGGTTATTCGACTCAGCAAGTTCTGCAAGAGTTTTGACTCGACTAGCTGCAGAATCTGCGTGGCAGCATGACTGCCACTAAAGGCTTCGACCTGCCATGAATGTTGCAATATCCAGAATTGCCACCAGTCGGCTGACAAACACAGTTGTTGGCGTGCCATGGCCATCAGTGCAGCAGCCTTCCAAGAATGCCTTCTCAAGGCATGGAACAGTGCGGGTGCGCTTTCCAATCCTCAGAAGCAAACAGACGAGCAAACCACAACATTTTTGTTGGTATATAAATCTATACACCCCATTGTTTCTTTTCTCTTGAAGCAAGGCATAAAGGAAGGGTCAAACGAGGATTAGGAGGAAATGAAACTCTGGGTTTTGTAGCATGCATCCTTTCTCTAAGTCGCTCATACTGAATGGAAAGGTCATGGATCACCAAAAATCACTAAGCATCATTCTGCAAGGAGCTGAAACATTTCCGGGATGCCAACCGGGTCCTCACTGAGGAGGAGCCGTTTTTTCGAACGTGTCAAAAAAGTGCACGGTCGCTCGCCGCGGAGTCGCCGGAGGGACCGAACGGATGGACTTCAGGAGCGCCGGCAAGCGTTAAGTGGGCTCAACCGATTGGTGCGGCCACGTTCTGCACCTTTGAGTTCCTTGACCAGGACACGGAGGTCCCCGACAGGTCCCCGACAGGTCCCCGACAGGTCCCTGTGACTCGTCATTTGTGCAAGAGAAGAGCTATCTCCAATGCACAAGTCTCACAGGACTTGAAAGACAAATACACCCTTTGGTGATTCTTCTTTTAGTCTGATGGCTTCACAAAGGACAATGAGTGCAACTCCCTGGGGGTGTCTTGCTTCCGCCGTCTGTTGACGATGCTTCGGTACGCAGCGCCGGACCTTCGGTGCAGGATCAACTCAGCGCCGGACTTGACGGTGGGCTCCCCCGTTCGCCTTGCCGGTCTTCGAAGCCGTGCAGAATTCAACGGGACGGGTGCTGAATTCATCAGTCAATTCTTGTTAGTGTTTTAGGCTATTTTGCATGGTCACTCAACTTGTGCTTGACCCAGCAAGCACCTTAGGCCTTATCTCCCCTTTGAAGTCCTGCAAAGTCGTGAAAGTTCCTCGATTTTGCAAAGAGAGAGGCATCGCCAAAACCTCTGGCAGGACCATTGGCGAGGTGCTAGAGCGAGAGCCTGACTCGCACGGACAGTTGTTGGTGCGAATCTTTCCAGAAGGCCCCAGACGCTGAGACAGCGTTCGTGCGGGTCACAACAGAAATGCATTGCATTGTGGTGAAATGTGAACCCGACATGGTCTGTGTTGAAGTGCAAGATCGCTGAATGGGTTGTCCGAGCAACTGTGCATCCTTTTGAGAACTGAGAACATGTCGGAACCTGGAGTCCATGTCGCCGATATTGCCATTCTTGCAGGTGCCTCCCAGAAGATTGTGTGGGTGAGTCCTGAGAAACTTCGCTTTTAGGTGCGACATGGTCTAAAGAGCCTACAACCAATTCTCACGAAGTATGCAGGAGTGCAGGCAAGCTTTCCTTGTGGACAGCAGCTAGGGTAGAACTTGAATCCAATCTGTTTGGTCACCCTGGTCCGTCCTCGTTCAGATGAAGCATCAAAAAGAACGAGGACGGACCAGGGCGAAGGCTTCACCACACTCACCAAGCCAAGATGGTGACTGATCAAAGAACACTTCGAACCTGTCCATTCAGACAACCCCTCTCAAAAGCCAAAGCAAGGGATTGACGAGGGAGCTGCAGTTTGGATCCTGTCTCCCTGGAAGGCATCGCCACTACATACGCGCGCTGGAAGGCAGTGGCTCTCCAAACCACTGAGGCACTTGGCTCACAAGTCCTTCCACGCTGCTCCCAATGGGGGCTTTTTCAGTGGCTCGGACTCAACTTGGATCTTGTGATGATAGTACAGAACCTTGAAACGGGGGGCTAGTTGCTCACCTGTGAGGTGAGAGCACTTCGTTGCCCGCACTGATGCGAGACTCGCAGCGCCCCAACGCGGTGAATGGAGCCTGACGCCAAGGAGGCAATAGTTCGCTTAGACTGACCGAACGGTCCTGTATCTCGGACTTCGGGCAAAGCCCGGAGATTCAAGGCACTTCGAAAACAGCAGACTGGCTGATGCTGATGTGGCATCATCTTCTTGGATACTTCCAATCCATCCTCATTTCATCCATCCTGATTTCATGGGTTTCTTTTATCTAAGTCGATCATCCGAAAGGCCATAGTTTGGGCTGGACTGGAGCTGTTGTGGCAGCACTTCTGACCGAACTGCTGCGTGCCGATGTTCTTTCCCCTTTTGCTTAGACATGTGACCCTAAGGGTCCACTGATTTGTTCGACCCAAAAAGGACGTGGCTGCGACGTGCTGAGACATCCAAGACAGCTTTGTTGGAGAGAAAAATGAGCTGAGCCGCGATGCAGATCGACGACGAGCAGGTGGCCGATGGACGAGCAGAAGCAGTTGATGTTTATATGTACTACTGGGACAATAGGGATGGGTGCTTTGGCAGCATGAGAGGCATCACGAAGCTTCTTGTCACTCCAGTTAGGATTTTCTCCTTCAAGCTTTGTGATGCCAAGGCCATCATTTGAGGGGTGGTGGTTCGGCAACAAGCTTGGTGGTACTCAGGCTCCTTGTTTCATATTGCATCCTGCAGTCCGAATCTACTGCATGTTGACGTTGACGATAAACACCACTTTGATCTGTGTTTTGGTCTCACAGCCTTCTGCCTCACGGCAGGTGTGGTCTCACAATGCCTCCAATGGCCTTACTCCTCCACCATCTGGATGGAAGATTCCATGGGACGGCAATGTTCGACCAACTCTGTCAGTGGCCAACAAGGCGGATTCCGCGCTGTGCGCGAAGCACAACGACGAATGTAACAGACCTCCAGCAATGGAAATCATCGGATATGTTAGACACCTGTTTGTGGCAGGCTGAACAGGCCAAGAATGAGGCTCAAATGAAGCTTAAGATGCTTTATCGGCAGTGGAATTGGGGGCAGGTTTGCATGTTCACCAAGTCCTTTGTATCCTCAAGTGCAGGTGTGTCCATTTGCCATTGTAGGGGTAACTTGCCCAGGAATATGACTACTGAAGTGAATACAGCTTCTGCAGCAGCCAAAGGTGCGCTAGAGCAGGCCAGGGAATGTTGGAAAGGAATCGATGAAATGGATTGTGTAGCAATCAGCGGGGAAAGCGTGAAAGGCAAAGGCTGCGGCAGGAGACTACACATCCTCAGAAGGCCTTGACTGAATGGAAAGTGAATTTACAGTATATAATTTGTTCTTGTGGTGAACAAAAAAGACTTGGAAAGCAAAATGGTTTTGGCCTCTGAAGAGGAAATTCTGCTCGAGGTTTGAAAGAGGCTGAAACCCTTCTGCAGCCGCAGCTGACGGGCTTAGCAGAGGCTCCACAGCTGCGTTGATTTTTTGCTGGGAGTGCTTTGAAGCCTTTGACGACAGGCCATGAAGCAACTGACGGATGCACAGTTTTGAGCTGAGTGACTTAAGGGTCAATAGTAAGGCACCTGTTACTACTAGCGTGGCACTTGTTTCTAAGTTCATTCTGTGTCTTCTATCAATCCCATTGATTTGCCTGTCATCGGGCTGAGGCGTGCTGGCAGCAACGCAGAGACGCTGCGGCAAGTTCAGCAGATGAGGCTTTTGACCTCAGAGAGGTGTGACAGAACATCCGTAATGGTCTTTGATTTGCTTTTTTTTCTCTCTATTTAAGAACACATACCTGCAGCAGAGTTCAATGCCGAGGTCAGGTTTGCAGGTTGGGAGCCCGGGAAGCAGCGAAGCGAGTAGGGATTTTGGGGAACATTTCGAGCTTGAAAGATCAAAGCCTAGAGCTGCAGGCCCTGATGAGTGCAATTAATGTGGAGCTTGGCAAGGTCCGTAGCTCGAAGCAGAAGGCCGATTGGAGGAGTTGGAACACACTTATGCATGATCAAAAGCCAACCATGGTGCATTGAAACGGGTAATTTGCCAGGCAGAGCTGTCTGAAAAACAAAAGGCCCTGGAGGAACGCGACTTGATGGTCTTCAATGAGGCGGCATGATCCCTCTTATCAACAACCAGTTTTTAAGGGGAGAGCGATCGATGACTAGACTTTGTGAGCAATGTTTCACCACCTCATTGCCGCAACTGGTTGCCCCAGATCCTTCCGGAAGCTGTTAGCAAGGCCAATGCTGCAGAGGCTCACGGGTGATGACTAACTTTGAGCTGCAAGCTCTCTTATTCATCCACAGAAGCCCAAGAACCGGAAGAACCAATAATTTTTGTCTAGCTTTCGACTGGTCTTCCTTTAGTGTCAGACGTTGGGAAACACCGAGACACACCGAGACGCTTCCTGTGGAGGATGCAGTGGAGAAAGCCGTGATCACCTCGGAGATGATCGCTGCGGGCGGAGAAGACCTTGATGAGGTTCGACAGGCGAGAATGCGATGGGCAGGTCGAGTCAAAAGGAGCAGGGTCGGTTCATTGTTTTGATATGGGGTTGATGTGTTTCTTGGTGGCGATCCATTTCTGCTCCCTCGTTTCTGCACTGAAGGTTCTGCACTGAATCTGTATGCAGATCATGGATTACTTGCAGCTCATGGTTCTTTGGACTGCAGTTGGGGCGGAGTCTGACGGATTCGCAGGCTGTTGGAGCAACCGAGCAGGCACGATTTGAGCTGCGCCGTGGGCTTCAAAGTGCTTGCCTTGCCCAGCATGGTCGCTGCAGGCGGTGCAAGAAGCACAAAAAGCCATGGGTGAAGCACGAATCTTCTTGAATGCCAAGCAAGCTGCGGCCAGGCCACATCACCACAAGTCCTTCCTTGTAACTTCCAAAAGACACCGTATTGCTAGATGTGCCTCATGGAGAAACCAATCGTTGAGTGTTGCATATATAAAGGCATTTGGCTCACATTGCTTGCCTTTTTTGCTACGAAAGAATCTACAGAATCTACCAGCAACATGCACAAACTCCAAGAATCCAGGTCACCCAAATCCATCATTCAAAAAATTCCTTCTTGTTCCTCATTCAAAGGCTTCAATTGTGGCATGCCGCGGCATTACAAAAGCTTCTGGCGGGAGTTGGGACCCGATTCACCAGCAATGCATGCGATTGAAGATGTCAGCGCCTCAACCTTGCCATGTGTGAGCCTTGCGGCTCCTTTGAACATACAAAAGAAGTCCCTGACGCAAGATGAGGAGGCCTACAATGTTTTACCCTTTGGAATCACTCAAAAAAAAGCATTGAGCATGGATCCTTCTCTGACAGCCACTTCATTTGGATATGTGCCAGGGGTGTTTACCTTGTCGCCCACTGATGAGGGACCCTTGATCCCAGGGCTTACATATCTGAGGAATTTCATATCGAAAGATGAGGAGCATGCCTTGCTAGCTGAGATTGATGACGGCCCGTGGGATGGAGACAACAAGTCCAGACGAACCAAGCAGTTCGGATATGGCTTCCATTGGCGCAACCGCCACTCGAACGCCCTGGTCCGCCTTGCACCACCGCAGGACCACATGCCCAGGTCTTCGCATGCCATTCTTGAGCGTTTAAAGCTTCATGGGTGCATCGACTCAGTCAACTTTGATCAGTGCATTGTGAATGACTATATTGGCGGACAAGGCATCAAGGCGCACCGTGACAGGGAGTTCTTTGGCGAGGTGGTTCTTGGAATGTCCTTGCTTGAGTCAGTGGTCATGGACTTCAAATGTCTCAAGACTGGAGAAGTGAGGGCACTTTTATTGGAGCCACGCTCAGTACTGCTGCTTCAAGGGGAAGTGAGATGGTTGTGGCAACACAGTATCACACCTGCACCAACTCTGCTGTACCGGGGGGCGTTATTGCCGCGCGGACGCCGGACATCGCTCACCTTCCGCACGATCGCAGATGACTCCGTTATTGCCGGAAGCGAAGCATGACTGGAAGGTATTAGTATATTTGACAGGCAAGCCAGGCAAGCTTCTGATTTTTCTGAGCTTCCAGAAGGATGACATATGCTTTGTACAGACACTTGCCATTCGTTTTGCCATGCTGGCTGGCTGGCAAATTTGTGGATCTGACCATGGGGCGTGTGACATGTCCAGTGTACAGCTTGCAATGAAAACCGTAAGCTTGAAGTTTGATGACTTGGTCGATCGCTACATACCTATATATACTGTACATGTTCTGAATATTGGCTGGATCGAGCGTACTCATGCGACTTCCTTGTGGTTGCTCTAACATTCATGAAAATTCCTTGACTTGAAACATGCTAGTAGAGGTGCATTTGCACCGTTATTAGTAATGAGCCACTACTCTAGCTACTTTGATGAGGACATTTAGATGCACTGTCGCACTGTGTGATTTTTTCGCAGGCGGTACGAGAGCGAGAAGGTGAAAGCCAAGGCTGTGACTGGAGTGATTGTCCGATCAGGTCATCAACTTTTGTGGAGTGTACATGTGATTGGTTCGCACTGGTAGACCCTTCCCGAATTTATTGTACCAAGCTTCCGACTGTAGACTCTGATTGACGGTAAATCGGCAAAGTTGTAAACTTGACCAACCATTATTTGGTTTAATTAACACTGCGCATGTTTCTGAATAAGATCCCAAACGGCGCAAGTTGGGTTTGATTTAGATTCCGTTTCACGGGAGTCTCCCTGACACCTGGGTCCAGGCGATCTCAGAACTGGGCGGATTGCAAGCTCAGCTCCAAGAGGCGACCTTAACATGTATTTTTCGGCATGGCCTTTTCGCTGCTTGGTCTTTTCTTGGTATGTTTTTCCCGTTGACGGTTTGAGTCTCTCGCAAGTCACAGCTTCTGGCAGGCTCAGCAGAAGCTGAGCCCACTGAAGAATGTCCGACAGGCGGGTTGAAGATAAACTTTCTCCACAGGTTGTGGCTGTGGAGCTGTTAGTTAAATCGAGCTTGTGCACTCAACTCAGCAAATGCAGGGTCACCATGAACAGTCCACTCTTGACACAATTATTCCACATGCAGTGTGGCCAGGAATTTGTGCAGCGCACAGCTGCTCAGAAGATGATGCAAGAAGTCTTGGAGAAGCTATCACCCGCGGAGGCTGTATGATTGGATGTTGGATTCTCTTTGATGCTTTTAGGTGTGGCACTATATTCTCGAAGTTTCTACTCCCCAGGAAGGCATTGGGGGCAATGACGGAGGGCTCATGTGTTTCACGCAGGTAGATGTTGATCGTGCCGAAGAAGCCACGGAAATGCTCAAGAGCGAGGAAGGCGTGTCCAAGGACCTCTGGCTTTCATTAAATTTCTTTTCCCAGAAGTTGTGAGCACATGTTTTCACCTCAGGAGCTGATGGTGCAGGCGCAACAAGCTGTCTCCAAGGCAAGGCTACAGCTCAACACAATCAACATTCTACAGCATTGCTTGATGGAGATCAGTTATTGACCATTGATACTCACTTGGAAATGACAAACATCGGTATGTTTTTTACTGAGAACAACGATTAGAGAAAACAAGGGACAACGTTTCTTTGTGCTTTGTTCGTTTGGTCGAGTCCAGCTGCTTGTTTTGCAATGTTATTTTTTGATTGCAGGCCGGTGAGCATGTGAACGCTGTTGTGCGGTTCATTGAGACGAAGAAGAAGAACGCAGTAGGCTAGGCGTTTCGGATTTTCGGTTTGATACCAGTTTCCCGGACCGAAGCACACACACACACACCCACACACCCACAGGGAAGGTAATCTCGATTGGGGAAGTCTTATATGCCGGAGCAACCGAAGGATTTGTTGATGATTGCAGACCCTACTTCCGGAAGGTCTGGCAAAGGAAGAGCTGGGAAAAATGGAAGAGCGAGCCAGGACAGATGACACCAATTCCGATTTCAGAGATGCTGTAGGGCCTATAGGGGCACAGGCAGCCGCAGGCAGGCATCCAGAACTCACTCCTGGTAGAAGAATTAAGTATGTGATGAGTGGGGTGGAAATCCATAGGTAACGGATGCCAATGCATCAATGTTTAAGGCCTGCACACAGAGATTGACATTCCGCTAGCAGCTAGCAGAAATGTATTTGTTTCTGATGCATGCAGGGTCTTGCTACATGCATTTGTGCAAACCTACTCAATATACATAGAGACGTGCCAGAGCTCCAGGTTGGCAGGGACCCATTGACGGGTGGTAGTGACTTAGTGGTCCACTCACACTGACTTTGAAGGAAAGAACACGACTCAAACCACCAGAGGTCCTCAGGATACATGTCCTGTCCTGGTGTTTGGTGTCTCCGGCAGGGTCAAGGAGATACCCGGCACCCCTTCGGATGACGGAAAGCGCTGTAGCGCTTGGAAGTATTACTGAAAGGGAAGGGGGGGGGGGGGGGGGGGCCAAGCTGATGACGGAAAGCGATGAATATCGCTTTGAGTTGTTGGCCGGGAGGTAGTTCCGGGGGGGGGGGGGGGGAAAGTTCGAGGTTTTGATTTGCAGACTTTTGGGGTGTCTTGAGGCAGGTTCGAAGGTGCAAAAAACACTGTAATTTACAGTAAAAAGTTGCTTTGGGTGGGTTTGTGTTGAGCTTATTTACCTTCAAAAAGTTGCATTTTACCTGCACGAGAGGCAATTTTTGAGGTTTATCTTGTTATCTCGCATTCGAAGGCTTTGAAATGCAATGTGCATAAAACATTGGAAAACACAGCAAAAAATAAGACTTTTTTGGATCATTAATGCACTGTTTTTTGACAATTTTTTGACAAACTGGGCCCCGACTTTCCACAAGGTCATCGGATACAAAAATGACAGAGAAAATGCTAAAAAAGTCGGGGGCGTTCCACAGCACCACTTGCATCACTACGAGGTGCATGGGAGGCGCAAAGATAACAGAAGAGACGGAAACAAAGCAAATCAACTTAAGATGATATTTTTTTGCCACCAAGGCCCACAAGAAGACAGAAAGAGCACAGACGAGACAAAAACAAAGCAAATCAACTTAAAGCAAATCAACTTAAGATGAGAGTTTTTTTGACACCAAGGCCCACAAGAAGATAGAAAGAGCACAGAAGAGACAGAAACAAAGCTAATCAACTTAAGATTTTTGACACCGAGGCCCACTAGAAGACAGAAAGAGCACAGAAGAGACAGAAACAAAGCAAATCAACTTAAGATGAGAGGCTTCTTGACACCAAGGCCCACAAGAAGACATACAGGGCACAGAGGAGACAGAAACAAAGCAAAGCTACTTAAGATGAGAGTTTTTGACACCAAGGCCCACAAGAAGACAGAAAGAGCACAGAAGAGACAGACACAAAGCAAATCAACTTAAGATGCGAGTTTTTAACACCAAGGCCCACAAGAAGACAGAAAGAGCACAGAAGAGACAGAAACAAAGCAAAGCTACTTAAGATGAGAGTTTTTGACACCAAGGCCCACAAGAAGACAGAAAGAGCACAGAAGAGACAAAAACAAAGCAAATCAACTTAAGATGAGAGTTTTTGACACCAAGGCCCACAAGAAGACAGAAAGAGCACAGAAGAGACAGAAACAAAGCTAATCATCAACTTAAGATGAGAGTTTTCTGACACCAAGGCCCACAAGAAGACATACAGAGCACAGAAGAGACAGACACAAAGGCTAATCAACTTAAGATGAGAGTTTTCTGACACCAAGGCCCACAAGAAGACGGAAAGAGCACAGAAGAGACAGAAACAAAGCTAATCAACTTAAGATTTTTGACACCGAGGCCCACTAGAAGACAGACAGAGCACAGAAGAACCCACCCAAAGCAACTTTTTATTGTAAATTACAGTATTTTGCACCTTCGAGCCTGCCTCAAGACACCCTAAAAGTTTGCAAATCACAATCTCGAACTTTCACCCTCCCCAAGGAGCTGAGGTGGTAAGCGATAGAAGCATTTGTGATGTCAAACGAATGATTCCCAAAAGGTGCAATCAAAGGACTGAGTTTTCGTTTGTTTTGTCCATGTATTGAAGTCAGTCCATGCATCAAGCAAACGTTCGGCTTCATCCCGGACATCTCCCCCCCAGAGATGGTGCACATTGGACAGGTAAATGATAGCTCCACCAGCAAGCCACAGTGCATACCCCAAGTTCAGAGAATGCATGCTGCAAAACTTTATTTGCATTGGGTCGAAAAGGGGAAGTTGAGTCAAGACGCTTTAGAAAGCACAGGCTACTGGTTGGCAAGTAGACAGAAACAAAGCAAATCAGCTTAAGATTTGACACCAAGCTCTCAGATCCAGCGACCCACACTGAGGTGGTGCCTTTCAGGGTTAATAATACTGCTGGTCTTGCTTTTTGGCTTGTTGGTCGAAGCCTCCCGAAAGCGGTCTGGTCAGCACTCCTTTGTTTGTGGGAGATTTGCAAGCCGCAAATTCCAGCATCTTAAGTTGCGCCTGACGTGCATTGCTCCCAGAGAAGAACCTTGCTCGCTCCCATTCAAAGCGGCGTTTCGGCTGACTATGACGTCGCTGTGGCACTTCGTCGATCATGGCACGTGCCCTTGCTGCCGACGGCGCGGCGCTGCTGGCGTATGGCCGCTCTACCAGCACTGCCGTGCGAAGCGTCCGAAGAAGGCCGCACGACCGCGGCGGCCATTTGTCGTGCTTTGTGGATCGTTCGTTTCCTTTTGGACGTGTCCTTCTTGACTTTATGTTTTGTTCAATGTCATCCAAACGTTACCATAGCAAGCCATGCGTTCCTTCCAAGCATATTCTTGCACCTTCCATCCATGTACCTTCGGGGTGGTATATGGCTCGCTGGACACTTTGCGCCATCCAGACATGCATCAGCCCAGAAAGAGTTGAGAACCTCGATTGTGGCCTTGTCATATACGCCGCGTACGCCGGCCACATCGCAGGATGACCTCCTGGACGCCCTGGAAGACATGATGGAAGTCGAGCAACGTGAGAAGGAGGGGCGTGAGGCGGATCATGATGCACGCACATTGTCGGATCATGGCCGTGTGTGCGCGCCTCGTCGGCTCGTTCTCGGCAAGGGGCTCGACAAAAGATTGAGATCGAAAGCTTGGTACCTTTTTGGTGGTTTCTGATACCCACTTGTTCAGGCGCGTCATGGAGATGACCGTGACCACTCGCCGGCCGAGGAGCGCGCAGTCGCTCGCAATGCAATGACTCCCCGGACAGAACACGTTTCTGACAGGTGAACCCATCGTATATCACAACACTCCCACTGTTTCATCTCGGTTGAGCGACTTTACCTCCATTGATTTGGGCATCCATGTGGTTATGCTTTTGGAGTGGGGCAGAGGATGCTCGACCCAATCGCCCAGGAGCGAGATGCGCGGTTTGACGAAGACAAGGCTACTGTTGCTCGCTGCAAGTCGAGCGGTGGGGAGGGACGTGGACGGTATTCGAAGTTTGGCCATCTCTGGTCCCTTGTAACACTACATGGTAACACTACATGCGCAAACGAAAAACAGTGAACCTTCAACGAGAACGTGCTTGTGTTCGGGCTCGTGGGCTTCGTCTTGTTTTTCTATTGACGTGTCCTGTTCGAGTTAGCTGCTGTGTTATGCGGTCAAGCTCCGCAAAACCTAGTATCAGACCGGTCAGGCGCAGCGCCGAGATGATGACCTTCCATTGGTTGACGATCGCGATCGCGACCGTTCGCGACCCGGAGCTCCCTGGCCTGAGTTTCTTCACCGCGAGGTTCGCACACTCTATGTGGACTTCGGCCAAAAGTCTACAATAAAAAACAGAGGGGTCGAAGGTAGCTTGTGATGTTGTTTTTTCCATGGTATTGTCGAGCGGGCCCCCGGCTAAACACACCTATTCTGCAGCTGGGCGCTAGGTTTGCGGTAGATTTGGGCTAATGTTTGCCTTAGGAAATGTTCAGATTGTCGTCAGGTGTTCGAAAAGTGGCCGGCTGAAAAATGCGCTGGCCGCGCGCTGGCCCTGCGCTAGATCCGCGCAAGCAAACATCGACAGATTCCAACGTAGACCCTATCCAAGGCTGACTTGCTACATGTCTTTTGTAGCACGCATGGCGGCTCGAAACTCGGAGCTCGATCGAAAACGGTGCAGCGCTTGTGACGCCTCTTACACTTTGGCACCGCTACTTGTTTGGCTCATGTTTCTTTCATTAGCTGTGTGTGCCAAAAGTAAAAACTATGTAGCGGGCCTCCATGTGAAGTCATTCTTAACTGTGCAGTCTACCAGTAAAGATGCCACAGAAGCTGCGCCATAGTGGCATTGCGCTCAGGTGCAGCGCCGAGATGACGATGTTCCATTGACTGACTCTCGCGACCACCGCGACTATTGCGGTCGGGAGCGTTCACGAAACTCCAGAGCTCCTTGGCGCGAGTTTCTCCGCCGTCGGGGTTCGTGCACTCTGTTTGTCCTAGGTATCCATCGAGTTTCATACGTACAGTCTACCAGTAAATACCACAGGGACTGCAGATCTGGTGAGTGCGTAGTGACAACCTCCTGTCATGTTTAGGTTAGCTGCTGTGTGGTGCAGTCATTGGCTCTGTCAAGCCTGATCTCAGACCGCTCAGGCGCTGCATCGCGACGACGAGGCCGACTATCGCGATCGTGAACGCTCACGGTGCTCACGAGACTCCAGGGCTCCTCGGCATGAGTTTCCTCACCGTCCACATTCGTGCACTCTGTCTGTCCTATGTCTGTGTGAAATT